TATTACTATCAATGTATAAATCTTTTTATTATATATTGTTTACAATGTTTGTATATATCTTTTACTTATTACCTTATATCTACTATACCTAAACAATTAAAACACAATGTATAATATAATTATTAATATTTCGTTGATTTCAACTATTAAACCATACCTACTAATTTTATTTTTCAGACTTTCAGGAATAAGTAGGTACTTAGTGGTATATTAATATTATGTGTTAGAAGACAGAAGTTAAAAGAAATAGCAAGATAGTGATTGAAATACTTTTATAATACTAAGGGCCGTTCTTACGACGTCCGGTTAAAGTTAACCGACACTTAACCGGAAGAATTCTGCCGGTAATAAATCTGTTATCAGTCGGTTAGCGTTAACCGACACTTTACCGGACATTGTAAGAACGGCCCTAAAAGTAGTTTTCAAATAGGTAAATAGAAAAACCAAATTCGAGCTTAGCGAGAAAAAAAATTTTGGTGGGTGGCCTGGATAAATTTTAAACTCCCGGCCTGGATTTGGTTCCCACTCCGCCCCTGCCTAAGTCACTTATTATAACTTATTTTAATGACAAAGGGCATAAGTCTTGTAAAATTACATGCAATGGGTCTTAAGTCGTGATGCGAAAGGGCCTAAGTCAAACAGGTATATATGCAATAGGTCATAAGTCATTATAATTTGAAGAAAATAAATAAAAAGTTAATACTAAAATATATTTAATAGTAAAATAACAAAACACTTATGTATATATATATTATATACATATATATACACCTATATATTAAACATTATTATGAATAAAAAATGTAAAAACATTAAAAATGTACAAAGTTATAATGTTTTTTGTGTCTCCTGAAAAGTATCAAATTTTGACTTAAGCCCTTTCCCTTAAAAACCGTCCATATTATAGTGTCAACTGTATGATATATACATATTATTCTATAGGTAAAAATAGGTTATTTCAATTTTTAAGTATAAATTTGCATAAATATAAAACAGCCAATATAGTTCAAGTTCTAGACCTATGCATAAAAATAATAATATACCTAAATACCTGTTTCATATTGTATACCTACAAAAACAAAAGTTCAAATTATTGCCTAAACCTTACCTACAATATTAGTTTATACTTTTAAACTTTGATATAATAAAAGTAAATTAAAATAATTACCATACGCCTTATCTATATCTAACAAATTGTATGTATTTTTTATTTTGATAGTTATATCATGATAAAAAGTTATAGAACGAAGAGGAGGAAAATACAAAAAGATCTTATGTTGTTAAATGAATCTCAAAGTACCGTACATCAAAATCTAAATAAAACAATCATTAATACTTCTGAAATAAATTCCGATTTAGTTAATTCAAGCTTATTAACCAGCAATTAAAGTAACATACCAGTTGAAGATTCATTTTATTATAATGCTGTTTCGGTGCAAATTAATGACAATTCATATTTTTATAAAAACCCTGAAAAAATATCTGATAGTAATAATTTTTCAAACACAATTAAAAATAATGTAGACGAATGTAGTATAAACAATGAAAAAGAACCTTTACACATTAAACTTAAGAATTGGGCTTTGGAATGTGATGTTCCACACTCAACACTAGATAAATTATTACTAATTTTAAAAAATGAAGAAGATTATAAATCATTTCAAAAACTGCCTTTGAATAGTAGAACTTTATTAAATTCAGGTTCTTCAGCCACAAAAAATATTTTAAACATCGATCCAGGAATATATTATCATTTTGGATTAACTTATGGCATTAATAGGCATTTATTAAAATTTAAACATGAAGATAATGTGATTAAAATTTTAGTTGGTGTCGATGGATTACCGCTTTCAAAAAGTAGTAGTAGTCAGTTTTGACCTATATTGGCGTACGTTTATCCTCATTCCAATAATGTATTTCCAATTGGAATTTATAATGGAAATTCAAAACCAAACGATAGTAATAATTATTTGAAATATTTTATTGAAGAAGCTAAATATTTAACTATGAATGGTATTGAACTAAATGGTAATTTATTTAAAGCTTCAATTATGGCATTCTGTTGGATAGTCCGGCAAAATCGTTTATTCTAAAAGTTAAATCACATACTGGCTTTTCATCTTGCACTAGATGTTTTCAAGAAGGAGAATATTTGCAAAATCGAGTATGTTTTCCATATCAAGAAAATAGTTGCCAAAAGAGAGATCATTATGGATACACGACAATGGTTCAAAAAAGTCATCATCTACGAGAAGGAGTGACATCTGTTCTTACTGAGCTATCTAATTTTGACATGGTGCGATCTTTTCCCCTAGATTACATGCATTTGGTCTTATTAGGTGCCATGCGTAAACATATAGGTACATTTATGGATGTCTAAAGGTCCAGTTACTGTGCGATTACATAGTAGACAAATTGCTAAAATCAGTGATTTATTGTTGACTTTGAGGCAGTTTATACCTACTGAATTTGCCAGAAAACCAAGACCCCTTGAAGATATTTGCCGTTGGAAGGCTACAGAGTTGCGCCAATTTTTATTGTATACTGGACCAATAGTTCTAAAAAACTTCTTATCTGAGGAAACTTACAAAAATGTCATGTCATTAAGCATTGCAATGACTATTTTATTAAGTAATAATCATGAAAAAAAATTAAAATTTGCTGATCGTTTGTTAAATTATTTTGTAGAAAGTTTTGGAAATATTTATGGTCAGCATTTTATTTCACACAATATGATGGCAAATGTGATGACAATAACACCATGGTTTATTGCACATCGTAGAAGATTACAAACGTTTTGGACCTCTTGATTCATGTAGTTGCTTTCCTTTTGAGAACTATATGCAATTTTTAAAATCAGCTGTCCGTAAACCTGATAAGCCTTTGCAACAGGTTGTGCGTAGATATAAAGAAGTATGTTCTAATGACAAAATTACTGTTATTGCTTCTAGCACACCAAAAACAATCTGTCAGAGAATGCATAACAATGGGCCAATTGTAGAAAATATTACTTGTAATCCTCAATATTCTTTACTAAAATTACAAACATTTTATATTAATGTTAATAAGTTAGCTGACAGTTTTGTGCTTACAAATCAAAAGCAAGTTGTCAAAGTTATCAATATTGCACAATCAGCTATAACTAAGGAACCTTTAATTATTGGACATGAATTTCTTAAACAAGTACCATTATATATTAATCCAATACAATCAACCAAACTAGATGTTTATATTGTTGAAGAAATGTCATATAAACTAAAATGTTGGAAAATTGATAGTATAATGTACAAAGCAATAGTTGTCATATTTGAAAATAGAAATATTGCAATGCCAATTATCATAGCCGCAAATATGAGGGGGGCTAGGGGGATTTAGCCCCCCTTGAAGTTTCTATAGCCCCCCCCCCCCCCAATAACTAATGATTTCACTACTATAATTTAAAAGCATCATAAGAGTTTCAAGTATAAACCTGAGCTTCAGCCCCCCCCCCAAATTTCAAACACTATTTACGCCAATGCCAATTATACATTCAAATTAGTTTATTATAATTTGCAGTTGTATATACCTCTTGTACATATTATTAATACCTTATTGTATAAATATATATACTATATATTCTAAACTATATAGTAAGTTTAATAATTTAATAGTTTATTATAATAATTTTACTGATTTTTTTTTATTATTTTAGATAAATAATGTGGTCGATTGTTGTGTTCAAAAAGGATAATTCTGTGGCTGCAGTGCCTAGTAATTGGTTCAAGAACGGCAAATGTGCGTGGCCCAAAGACTATATCAAAAACAAAAACAAACTTGTTGAAAAGCGATCATTTCCAAATGCCTTAGAATTTAATTTTTATTGTGCCAGAAAATTGCATAGGTACTGAACACCCTATAGGTATTATTCTTATTATTATAGGTATATATTTTTAAACTTATGGTATAAATGTATAATTAATTAATTATGGTTAATGCATTATAATATATACTATAATGGGTACCTACCAAACTATATGTAAAACTTACATAGTATAATTATTTATTAATATTTTAGAATCATTAAAAGATCCTAAAGAAAAAGCTGCAAAAGGTCAAGGTAACTTCAGACATAGACTCTAAAAATGAAAAAAAAAAGAGTACCATCATTAATAAAAAAAAAAGCAGATATCCCTATATTTTCTGACAATTCTGGTTTGTACTTAAACATGATACATATTTAATTATTTTATGAATAACCATCAATGTATTTTTAATATAAACTATTAACAATATTAAACATTTTAGATGATACTACAGATGATGATAGAGGTTCAGATCAGACCACATCCCCACATGCAAATAAAGATTGTAAGTGTATTATTTTTATGTTAGTAAATGTTAAATTAATTATATCACAATTGTATATTAAATGTATTCTATATTAATTTAATTCAGAGTTATTATAATGTATTATGTCTTATACATTTTAAACAGTACAATATTATTAAATTAAAAATTAAAATAATTATACTATGCATTAATTATTGATATAGAATGATATATCATTTACACTAATATTATTGTTTCATTATTTATTCATTGCCCAATAAATCTTTTATATATATTACACACATTTATATACAGATTTTATTATATATACATTATAATTATTGAGACAATAATACAAATTATAATATATAAAAACTGAAAAGAAATTTTGTATATCTTTAAATTATATACTATGTCTACCTGTACCTATATATATTTTATTTTTAATATGTAGTTGTTATTGAATCATCCAATAACTAAATTAAAGTTGATGCCACTCAATTAAATAATCATTCAATAACAATTTCACCAACCGTGATTGTTACAGACATAAATGATGGAGCTTCAACATCGTATTTTGCAGGTTATATATAGTATAAATAGTATTAAATAATCTTGATCATTTGTATTATAAAGTTCTTTAGATATATTTATAAAGTAATTTAATTATTATTGAAATAGATGAAGAGTTAATGCAGCTTTTGGACACCGAAAATTTATCATTAGTGCCAGGTTCGTCTGGACATGTATTTGGGTAATTATATCATCATTGGGTTAATATATAATATATTTGATGCCATACATTTTTAATGAAAATATAGTATTTTATATAATGTGATTTATATAACTCATAGAATATTCTAAAGAGCCAATCATCATTCAACATCATCATTCCAGTTCTTCAATTACTGCAACGCCCGTTACCCCTACAACCCTCAAAGACACTACATTTACTAATGAAGGTACTAGGTATTATAATAAACTAAAGACCTATAATATTGATATAACATAATATCATTTATTATTTAATTAATAATTATGTACGGGTATATAATATGAACGCAAAATATAGTAGATAATATATACATTTATACACTTAATTTTATAATATTTATTATTTATACAGAGTCAGTTATATATATATTATATGTATATACTATATATTATATTATATCTTGAAGAGTTGGGAATAGGTTAATATTACAAAAAAATAATTATATTGCATAATATATTATATTATATACATTATATACATTTATTATATTTCTTGCATAATTGTCCTAATTGGAACTTCTGTTTTTAGATTTTCAGTCGTTTGTGAAAACCAATCTCACTAATTTAAAGTATGAACTTAAAAGTATGGCTTTCTCTATAGAAACTGTAAAGAATATGATGGCACAACATGTGGAACATTGTTCTACATTGCATCAAATTGTAGATAATGAATCCGTGGACCGTGATAGTTAATGAATCTTCTGAAATTGTATGGCCAATAAGCAATGATGAAGAGCTCGATAATATTGAAAAGTTGCTCGATAATCGTTTAATTAGGAATAACCAAGTAAATTTCAAGTATTCTTCAATAGTAAATATAACCATTTACTATTTTTTTTTTAATGAACAGGCCATTATTTTGTCAAGATCAGCTGACATTAATATATCCGATACAATTCGAAGAATTATGCAACAACTTTTCACAGATCAATTTCTTCGTCAATATTCATACTCTGGTTTTAAAGGAAAACACAAGTTTTCAACATTGAGATGTTGCAGATTATTATTTGGTAAGATTTTTTTATTAATATATATTGTAATAGTACATATTTTTAAAAGAAAATTGGTGAAATTGCATTACTAAATAGTAGCTACTATAGATGTCAAACAAATATTATACCTTTTTATTGAGTATGTCACTGTAATGGATGTTTTAAATTTGAATTTAACGACAAACCCAATTTTTAACCATATTTTTAATATAACAAAATTACTTTCATTACAGATTCATTAAGAAAAATCAAGAAATTCGATGCAGTGCCAGATGTTGATATAATATGCGCTCTATCAAAGTGGATGGCACAAGCTACAAATCGTATTCATAAAAAAGAATCTAAATCTAAAAATTAATAAGCATTAAATTATTATAAAAATGATTTTTTTATAAAAAGCTTACAGTTTTAATTTTTTAATTTTATATTTTACTATTATTTATAACAAATCATAATCTATAAAAAGGATAATAATATAGATAATATTATGATATACAAGAGGCATATACATTTTTTTTTTTTATATTCGTTATACTTATATAATAATGTAATATATTATATTGAAATAATATCCATATTATACATATTATGTATAATGTATATTTTATTTTTTAATTAAATAAATATGATGAAGTTTACTTATTTATTTGACTTATTATCATTATTGTGTACCTACTAACCTACTAACCTACTAACCTACTGTACATTAATAATATTTTCAACTTTTATAGCTAAAGATTGTAATAGGTAAATAAATTATTTTATTCACCATAGTATAAACATTAAAAATGTTCACTAGTCTTCAAAAGAGTCGGGGAAAACAAAATAAAAAAATAAAGGAAAAACGTGAATATTTACGCATAACTAGTCGGATTCTGTCATATATATATCTAAACATCAGGTACATATAATTTATATAAATTAATAATTATATTAATTAATTTACTTATTCAATTAATATTCTATCCACGTATGTAATTACCAATAGTATTTATTCTACATGTATATACTATTATTATTTATAACCCAGTCAGCAAATTTACATTTGTAAAATGTCATTATAATATTTTTATGAAAATATTAATATTTGCTCTATGTTTGAAGAAAATTACAAAAAAGTTTTAAAATATTACTGTAATATTATATAATCATTAAAAGTTCAAAATTATAATATTTTTTTAATATTATAGTCAAATATTGTAGTAATATTATATTCAAATATTATAGTAATTTTTAAGCTAGTTATTATTATAATATTATTTTTCAATCAGTTTTTAAAATTGAATAATTGTATTTTATTTCAATTAGGGCAATTATTACTTAACCCATAATTGTAACCTAACAAGTTGTACAAATGTTAAAATGCAGTGGTAAATCAGAATTATTTCAAAGAGGGTTGCCCATACTTGTTAGAACATAGACATTTCAACTAAAAAATAAATCTGGTACCTATAATGGTATAATTAATCTAGAGCTCCATGGTGAGGGGAGGGGGGTGTCTGGACTTAACGACCCTTTGCTCACTGGTTGTGCCACTGCTAAACGTGTAAACTGTAGAACATAATAATTATTTTCTATGGTAACTACCATATAATCTTATTAAAAAAAAACATACATTATTTGAATCATTATATAGAATATATTTTTAATAATTATTTTCTTGTCATCATAAAATTTTGTACATTTTTGTATTGACAAAAACAATTTAAAAACAATATCAAATAAAAACAATTTTAAATATAGTTTATGAAAATAAGAACAATATCATTATTAATATACTTGTGAAATTTTAAAAAAGCTTAAAACTGAAATGTGTGAAGTATTAATAATATAATAATAAATCTATCTAATAAAATAGATACTGCTACATTAAAATTATTTTTCAGTTTATATTATGGAGATTTTTCTAAATTTTGCTTGAGCCAGCCAGGCCTTAATAGGTTTTTCTATATTCTGCAGTGTTGTGGTTTTAAATAGAGAAGAACTCCGTATAGCATCTAAAACAAAACACATAAAGATTTTATATTATATAATATTTGTATTGGTTGGATTGGTAATAGGTATAGAAACTTTTAATATAAGTTTAATAATTATAATAGTTGTTTAAAACTGTTAAAAGTAAAGCTATTATGAATTATTTGAATATTATATATACAGGGTGATTTTTTTATCGAAGAACACTCATTATTTCAAAAAGTATTAATGTTTAAGAAAATATTTTTTTACATAGTTTCAAGTTGTTAAAAAACAATATTTTTATTAAAAAATTATATTTTTAAATATTTTTTATCCTTTTAATTTTTTAAGTTTTTTACTTTTTTGAATGACAACATCTAATTTTAATTTTATATTCAAAAACAGAATATTTTTCTGAGTATTTCGATACATAAAAATTGAATTTAGGGCAATTAGTTTATGAGTTATAAGTATTTAAAGTTTAGATGAGCGGAGTAGAGTGGTACGGGGTTACCCCGCGAAATGTTTGTCCTCTACTTAACTGGACCTTTACTCAACCATAATAATATTAATTTCCTTGTAACACCAAGAAGAGTCAAGTGCATGTAGTCCATTGAAAACGAAGACACTACATTTAAATTAGGAAATTCTATCAACTTGGATGTTGTTGTTGAAGTATGGTAATCTTCATACATAAGATTTGTATACGACTGGTGAGTTCTTTTAGTTATTTCTATATTAGAATAAGGAAAACATACACGGTTTTAATAGTATTCACCTTCAATAATGCAACGTGAACAAGAAAAAAACCCAGAATGATATTTTATTTTAAGAGCAATACGGCGATATCGAGATGAGGGTCGGCCAATATATTATTTGGACGAAACTTGGGTCAATGCTGGTGACGTTCCATACAAAGTTTCGTGTGATAAATTAGTGCTGTACCAGGATGCATAACTAATACTAATGTAGAGGAGGAATAAATGATTTTATTTTATTTAGTTCATTAGAAAAAGCTTCATTAGAATCGCGGGCTGGGCAAAATACAAAACTAGTCCAAGGATTTTACTAAAAACCCAGTTCGGGAAATACCCAGTACCGAACAATTCCGGGATTTTCCAAAACCCAAAATACGGGTTTTTTTTCAATTCCAACACAACACCAACCGGGAATTTCAACTCCGAAAATGACAGAGGATTCAAACAGGTCTCTCAACATGTGTCACTGTCACTCCAATGCTATGGTAAATAGGGGAGTAGACAAACACAAAGTGTTACCGACGTTGGAGTCGTTGTAACGGTAAACCTGACAATTACGTCAAACACCATCCGACACAACGGAGGGCACAGCATGACCCGTACTGGAGTCACGTGGCAATAACCAATGACGACCAAAAGTCATACCGCCCACTGATCCAGTCGAGTAGAGAACCTGAATCCTGTCATGGAACGAACGCCAAAGGTAGGTAGTATTTGTGAACAGAAAAGATGGATCCAGGACCCTATCAAACAACGAAAAATCCATTCGAAATCAGAAAATAAAGAACGGAGAAGAAGACAACCAAATACACCGTGCTGATTGTCGGGGGGAGAGTGGCGGGACCGGCAACACGGTGACAGGTCACACCTAACTTAAGGCGATATTTAAGAGCAATACGGCGATATCGAGATGAGGGTCGGCAAATATATTATTTGGACGAAACTTGGGTCAATGCTGGTGACGTTCCATACAAAGTTTGGTGTGATCAATCGGTGAAATCAGCGAGAGAAGCGACTTCAAAAGGCCTTACGACCGGTGCAGCAAAACCAAGTGGTAAGGGGAAACGTCTTATTGTTTGCCATATACGTTCCGGAGATGGATTCGTCCCTGACAGTTTGTTATGCTTTGAGTCTAAAAAAAACACTCAAGACTATCACGATGAAATGAACGGTGTATGTTTTCGTGAATGGTTGGAAAGTGTTTTGCCTAGACTCAAAGATAACGCTGTTATTGTTATAGATAACGCCCCCTATCACACTGTTAAACAAGAAAACACCATACTGCTCAAAACCCAAACGCTAAAATGGTTCATCTAAAAAAAGCATTATCAGAACAACTGGGAATGGGAATTGGAACTATTTAACAAACGGTCTTATAGTACAAACGGTCCAAAACAATTTTATCTCAAAAACGAACCAAAAAAATTTAAAAATATGAAGGATAAGGTAGATGATTTTGATAAACATGCTATAAGACGGAAGATACAAAAATGTTGGTCTGACAGTGAGTTGCCAACGTTTGAAAAAATAATGAATGTTGTTAACGAAGATGAGGACTTACCATATTATTCAAGTATATCACTCTATAGATTATTAAAATCTATGGATTTCGTGTACGTGAAACATGGTCGTAGTAGCGCATTAATTGAGAAAAATGAAATGGTTGATTGGCGGAGGCGATATTTAAGAGCGATACGGCGATATCGAGATGAGGGTCGGCCAATATATTATTTGGACGAAACTTGGGTCAATGCTGGTGACGTTCCATACAAAGTTTCGTGTGATAAATTAGTGCTGTACCAGGATGCATAACTAATACTAATGTAGAGGAGGAATAAATGATTTTATTTTATTTAGTTCATTAGAAAAAGCTTCATTAGAATCGCGGGCTGGGCAAAATACAAAACTAGTCCAAGGATTTTACTAAAAACCCAGTTCGGGAAATACCCAGTACCGAACAATTCCGGGATTTTCCAAAACCCAAAATACGGGTTTTTTTTTCAATTCCAACACAACACCAACCGGGAATTTCAACTCCGAAAATGACAGAGGATTCAAACAGGTCTCTCAACATGTGTCACTGTCACTCCAATGCTATGGTAAATAGGGGAGTAGACAAACACAAAGTGTTACCGACGTTGGAGTCGTTGTAACGGTAAACCTGACAATTACGTCAAACACCATCCGACACAACGGAGGGCACAGCATGACCCGTACTGGAGTCACGTGGCAATAACCAATGACGACCAAAAGTCATACCGCCCACTGATCCAGTCGAGTAGAGAACCGGAATCCTGTCATGGAACGAACGCCAAAGGTAGGTAGTATTTGTGAACAGAAAAGATGGATCCAGGACCCTATCAAACAACGAAAAATCCATTCGAAATCAGAAAATAAAGAACGGAGAAGAAGACAACCAAATACACCGTGCTGATTGTCGGGGGGAGAGTGGCGGGACCGGCAACACGGTGACAGGTCACACCTAACTTAAGGCGATATTTAAGAGCAATACGGCGATATCGAGATGAGGGTCGGCAAATATATTATTTGGACGAAACTTGGGTCAATGCTGGTGACGTTCCATACAAAGTTTGGTGTGATCAATCGGTGAAATCAGCGAGAGAAGCGACTTCAAAAGGCCTTACGACCGGTGCAGCAAAACCAAGTGGTAAGGGGAAACGTCTTATTGTTTGCCATATACGTTCCGGAGATGGATTCGTCCCTGACAGTTTGTTATGCTTTGAGTCTAAAAAAAACACTCAAGACTATCACGATGAAATGAACGGTGTATGTTTTCGTGAATGGTTGGAAAGTGTTTTGCCTAGACTCAAAGATAACGCTGTTATTGTTATAGATAACGCCCCCTATCACACTGTTAAACAAGAAAACACCATACTGCTCAAAACCCAAACGCTAAAATGGTTCATCTAAAAAAAGCATTATCAGAACAACTGGGAATGGGAATTGGAACTATTTAACAAACGGTCTTATAGTACAAACGGTCCAAAACAATTTTATCTCAAAAACGAACCAAAAAAATTTAAAAATATGAAGGATAAGGTAGATGATTTTGATAAACATGCTATAAGACGGAAGATACAAAAATGTTGGTCTGACAGTGAGTTGCCAACGTTTGAAAAAATAATGAATGTTGTTAACGAAGATGAGGACTTACCATATTATTCAAGTATATCACTCTATAGATTATTAAAATCTATGGATTTCGTGTACGTGAAACATGGTCGTAGTAGCGCATTAATTGAGAAAAATGAAATGGTTGATTGGCGGAGGCGATATTTAAGAGCGATACGGCGATATCGAGATGAGGGTCGGCCAATATATTATTTGGACGAAACTTGGGTCAATGCTGGTGACGTTCCATACAAAGTTTCGTGTGATAAATTAGTGCTGTACCAGGATGCATAACTAATACTAATGTAGAGGAGGAATAAATGATTTTATTTTATTTAGTTCATTAGAAAAAGCTTCATTAGAATCGCGGGCTGGGCAAAATACAAAACTAGTCCAAGGATTTTACTAAAAACCCAGTTCGGGAAATACCCAGTACCGAACAATTCCGGGATTTTCCAAAACCCAAAATACGGGTTTTTTTTCAATTCCAACACAACACCAACCGGGAATTTCAACTCCGAAAATGACAGAGGATTCAAACAGGTCTCTCAACATGTGTCACTGTCACTCCAATGCTATGGTAAATAGGGGAGTAGACAAACACAAAGTGTTACCGACGTTGGAGTCGTTGTAACGGTAAACCTGACAATTACGTCAAACACCATCCGACACAACGGAGGGCACAGCATGACCCGTACTGGAGTCACGTGGCAATAACCAATGACGACCAAAAGTCATACCGCCCACTGATCCAGTCGAGTAGAGAACCTGAATCCTGTCATGGAACGAACGCCAAAGGTAGGTAGTATTTGTGAACAGAAAAGATGGATCCAGGACCCTATCAAACAACGAAAAATCCATTCGAAATCAGAAAATAAAGAACGGAGAAGAAGACAACCAAATACACCGTGCTGATTGTCGGGGGGAGAGTGGCGGGACCGGCAACACGGTGACAGGTCACACCTAACTTAAGGCGATATTTAAGAGCAATACGGCGATATCGAGATGAGGGTCGGCAAATATATTATTTGGACGAAACTTGCGTCAATGCTGGTGACGTTCCATACAAAGTTTGGTGTGATCAATCGGTGAAATCAGCGAGAGAAGCGACTTCAAAAGGCCTTACGACCGGTGCAGCAAAACCAAGTGGTAAGGGGAAACGTCTTATTGTTTGCCATATACGTTCCGGAGATGGATTCGTCCCTGACAGTTTGTTATGCTTTGAGTCTAAAAAAAACACTCAAGACTATCACGATGAAATGAACGGTGTATGTTTTCGTGAATGGTTGGAAAGTGTTTTGCCTAGACTCAAAGATAACGCTGTTATTGTTATAGATAACGCCCCCTATCACACTGTTAAACAAGAAAACACCATACTGCTCAAAACCCAAACGCTAAAATGGTTCATCTAAAAAAAGCATTATCAGAACAACTGGGAATGGGAATTGGAACTATTTAACAAACGGTCTTATAGTACAAACGGTCCAAAACAATTTTATCTCAAAAACGAACCAAAAAAATTTAAAAATATGAAGGATAAGGTAGATGATTTTGATAAACATGCTATAAGACGGAAGATACAAAAATGTTGGTCTGACAGTGAGTTGCCAACGTTTGAAAAAATAATGAATGTTGTTAACGAAGATGAGGACTTACCATATTATTCAAGTATATCACTCTATAGATTATTAAAATCTATGGATTTCGTGTACGTGAAACATGGTCGTAGTAGCGCATTAATTGAGAAAAATGAAATGGTTGATTGGCGGAGGCGATATTTAAGAGCGATACGGCGATATCGAGATGAGGGTCGGCCAATATATTATTTGGACGAAACTTGGGTCAATGCTGGTGACGTTCCATACAAAGTTTCGTGTGATAAATTAGTGCTGTACCAGGATGCATAACTAATACTAATGTAGAGGAGGAATAAATGATTTTATTTTATTTAGTTCATTAGAAAAAGCTTCATTAGAATCGCGGGCTGGGCAAAATACAAAACTAGTCCAAGGATTTTACTAAAAACCCAGTTCGGGAAATACCCAGTACCGAACAATTCCGGGATTTTCCAAAACCCAAAATACGGGTTTTTTTTTCAATTCCAACACAACACCAACAGGGAATTTCAACTCCGAAAATGACAGAGGATTCAAACAGGTCTCTCAACATGTGTCACTGCCACTCCAATGCTATGGTAAATAGGGGAGTAGACAAACACAAAGTGTTACCGACGTTGGAGTCGTTGTAACGGTAAACCTGACAATTACGTCAAACACCATCCGACACAACGGAGGGCACAGCATGACCCGTACTGGAGTCACGTGGCAATAACCAATGACGACCAAAAGTCATACCGCCCACTGATCCAGTCGAGTAGAGAACCTGAATCCTGTCATGGAACGAACGCCAAAGGTAGGTAGTATTTGTGAACAGAAAAGATGGATCCAGGACCCTATCAAACAACGAAAAATCCATTCGAAATCAGAAAATAAAGAACGGAGAAGAAGACAACCAAATACACCGTGCTGATTGTCGGGGGGAGAGTGGCGGGACCGGCAACACGGTGACAGGTCACACCTAACTTAAGGCGATATTTAAGAGCAATACGGCGATATCGAGATGAGGGTCGGCAAATATATTATTTGGACGAAACTTGGGTCAATGCTGGTGACGTTCCATACAAAGTTTGGTGTGATCAATCGGTGAAATCAGCGAGAGAAGCGACTTCAAAAGGCCTTACGACCGGTGCAGCAAAACCAAGTGGTAAGGGGAAACGTCTTATTGTTTGCCATATACGTTCCGGAGATGGATTCGTCCCTGACAGTTTGTTATGCTTTGAGTCTAAAAAAAACACTCAAGACTATCACGATGAAATGAACGGTGTATGTTTTCGTGAATGGTTGGAAAGTGTTTTGCCTAGACTCAAAGATAACGCTGTTATTGTTATAGATAACGCCCCCTATCACACTGTTAAACAAGAAAACACCATACTGCTCAAAACCCAAACGCTAAAATGGTTCATCTAAAAAAAGCATTATCAGAACAACTGGGAATGGGAATTGGAACTATTTAACAAACGGTCTTATAGTACAAACGGTCCAAAACAATTTTATCTCAAAAACGAACCAAAAAAATTTAAAAATATGAAGGATAAGGTAGATGATTTTGATAAACATGCTATAAGACGGAAGATACAAAAATGTTGGTCTGACAGTGAGTTGCCAACGTTTGAAAAAATAATGAATGTTGTTAACGAAGATGAGGACTTACCATATTATTCAAGTATATCACTCTATAGATTATTAAAATCTATGGATTTCGTGTACGTGAAACATGGTCGTAGTAGCGCATTAATTGAGAAAAATGAAATGGTTGATTGGCGGAGGCGATATTTAAGAGCGATACGGCGATATCGAGATGAGGGTCGGCCAATATATTATTTGGACGAAACTTGGGTCAATGCTGGTGACGTTCCATACAAAGTTTCGTGTGATAAATTAGTGCTGTACCAGGATGCATAACTAATACTAATGTAGAGGAGGAATAAATAATTTTATTTTATTTAGTTCATTAGAAAAAGCTTCATTAGAATCGCGGGCTGGGCAAAATACAAAACTAGTCCAAGGATTTTACTAAAAACCCAGTTCGGGAAATACCCAGTACCGAACAATTCCGGGATT